CAAATGGTCTAACTCCACTTTTTACCAAAGGTACGTTTTATTGGCTACCCGTTAGTTAAAGATCTGTACTGTCGATTAAAACTGGCCTGCCAAGCCTATTTTAAATATTCGCGCCAAAAATTACATGACTCATTTTGTATAACCCCTTTACATTAAGGTTAGGTCTAAAAGATTTTTTGCGTTTCCTCAAAAAATTATATTTTAGGAGTTAGGCCATCTTAGACCGACGATATTCAATAAATATATTCAACCTATAATATTCTTCAACTATATTAGCCTTAATATTATTATTTCTATATGAGATTGTTGTTCGTATGCATAATCTTATGCGTTGTTAAGTCGCTAAAAGCAAGGGGGGGCAACTGCCCCTCTTGCCCCCCCCCCCCCCCCCCCAAACGACGCCCTTGCTCATGTATCTTGAATATGTTTAAGAAATTACCTTTGATCTACCTTTTATGTAGGTACCTCTTTTACTAATCGTTTTAGAACTAACTTGTTTCGATGCTCATTTATATTCTGATAGTAAAGCGTGATGGTAAATTAATCAATGAAATCGAAAAAACGAACACGAAAGACTGGCTTTTTTGAATTAAGGTAAAATAATAATTTTCTTATAGAGTTCACACAAATGTGTAATATTATAAATGAGCAATTAAAATCTGTGTGTAATCATTAATCAACATTAACGAGTAATGAAATATAATCAAGCGTATAAATTTTAATTATTATATCAATTTATTTGAAAATTATATATATGAAAATTGTTATAGATGAAATATGAATATGCAACTACAACTAGACTGGATATGATGACAGTATCGCACGAACACACAGTTTTAGCAGGACGCAGTGGCGAAGTGCGGTACGAATAATTTCCTTGGGTTGCACAGAAAATTTTTTCTACGGTCCATTAAAGAAAAGCTACAACATTTAAAAAATTAATTTTGCAATTATTAAGATAAAATAGCTATATTAAAAATAATACCTGATGCCTTATTTTTACAATGCCATTTACCAGGAACCTCCAGTATACACGCAGGAGAGTTGTTTGCAATTCTCCAAGCCTTTAAGTCATTAACATCAAATCGCAAACTCATAGCAACTTGTAATAACTTGCTTACATCTCTGCACGTCAGAGAAAACAGGTCACCTATAAAATATAAAATAATGAATTTTTTTAAATATTACTTATTTTTATAACAATAAATATATTGTATATTAAGATTTACCATGTTATTCGATGTTACCATAAATCACAAACAAGAAAGCAAAAAATTTGAGAAATCATATTTTATTGAAGAATTACAGTTACAGTTACTTTGCAATAATTAAATTAAAGAGGCAAGAAATGGTGAGGATCACTTTTCAATACGTCGTATTGCCACCGCGATTCTGGATGACACTTTGATTTGGTCAAGAAATCAGCAAGGTCTGAATGTTTGCTTGAGGAAAAGTGGTCCATTCCTCAATAAGGGCCAACCGAAGCTCTTCGCGTGTTACTGGAACATGTATGCGATGTCTTACATGCCTTTTGAGCTGGTCCCAAACATGCTCAATAGGATTAAAATTCGGACTTAAAAGAGGCCAATCCAATTTGGGAATACCCATCTCTTCAAGGTACTGTCACGGTTTATAGCTAAAGAATCAGTTAGCTTACTCGGACCAATTGGATGTTCCAAAATAATATCCACTCCAGGGATACAAATTCAAGATGTGCAGAAGTCTGCTGTTTGATTATAGGCGGTTGTCACTGCAAATTTTGATCGTCATCTGATAACGAAATAAAATATGCTCCAACCAAATTGCACCTGTGTCAATCCGTAGTAATTGCTCGGAGGTTAATCCCTATCCTGAGCAAAGTGGTTAAAAAAAATTATTTTATATTCAAAAAATCACATAAGACATGAGAGCGACAATTGTGTTTGCCCTGAAAATTTTAATCCTAATTCATTGTGAACCTAGATTTTAAACCTGAATTATTAATATTTTTACCTTTGTTTTAAATGTGTGAAAGGTTTGTCGTTTCTATGGCAACCTGTAAAAATGAATTACAACAATAAGCATACAAATAAATTTTTAAATCAGCAAAAATTTATTTATATTTTTAATCATTTTTAACTACTAATCGTGGATATATGTTTTTGTGCGATGTTAAAAGGAATAAAATGTTTCCCTTTAACGATATATATCAAGATATGTTTGAATATGTTATTTATTGGAAAACTTTAATGGATAACAAAATCAGCGCTGTCATGCCTTATGTGATTTTTTTAATATAAAGTTATGTTTTTTAACCGCTTTGCTCAGGATTGGGATTGGCACAGGTGTCATTTGATAAAGTACAATGTTTGGAGTAAATTTTATTTTGTTATCAGATGACGGTAAAAAATTTGCAATGGGCTATTGGGCTATTATGATTTGATTCTGTATGCGACAAGGATACAAATCCGAGTTGTGCAATGTATAAACTGGAACATTGAGATCAAAAGCGCCGAAGCAGAGTAAGCGAACTGATTCTTTAGCTATAAACTGTGGTACTGTGTTACCATTCTTGTTGTGTGTGGTAGCGCATTACCTGCATTAGCAGAAAACCATTGCCAACAAACCCAGCATATGGCATTATATGCTCTTCTAGGATCTTTGTTATATATCGTCGTTATGTTAATGCGCATCTGTCAATAATAACAAAATCTGTGTGTGCCTCAAAAGAAATTCCTGCCCAAAACATTACTGAGCCATCCCCAAAAGCAACTCGAGGTGACCGAGTACAGGCAGTATAACGTTCTCCAGCTCTTCTTGGGAGAAGCTTTTTTAGTACAAAATATTTTTAGTTCTATTAGGTAAGACATGCTAAGACTTGATAGAATAGGTATGTGATGGATTTCTACTGTTCTACTGTCACTAGGCTTATTAGTGTAAATTACTTTCTTATTATCTACTGGAAATTTATTTTGATGCTATTGTGTTGAAGGCAGAGAACAGTTGTTACTTAAAGGATGGAAGATGTGTGCTTATTTAATGTGTCTTGTTTTTGGGTGAGCTTTGAATGCAAGTAGGTATTGTCTTATGCACAAGCCTAATCCAGGAATGCTCTATTTAAATTGGGCGATGTGTATTACGAAATTAAAACACTGTCTCCTCTGTAACTAAAAAGGGAGAGACAATTAATGTTTTTAATTGTCTATATGCAGAAGGGCAATGCATACCACTATTTTTAAATTTAAATCAAAAGAAGGCTATTGAAGAAGGTTTTTCTCTAGGCGGTACTGTGCAAATGAGCCAAAAAAGTGCCTTTGTAACATTAGTTAGTATATTTAAAAATGGCTTAAGGAAATATTTGTTCCTAAGAAAATTTATCTTTCTCTATTTAGCATTAATTAAAATAAAAAAATAAAGATGACATGAGTCAAATAAATTTTAGCCGTATTTTTAAATTTTAACTAATGAATTACCTCCTTGTATATTAAAATGACTTTTAAGAACAACCTACCCTGTATACAATAATTGTGTTTTTACCAATTATTCTTTCTAAGTAACCTTTTTTAATATTTATTGTTCTTCTTTTCCAGTATTAAATAAAATTTAATTGAATTTGATCATTTAAGCATGAAATTGTCTACTATACAGTGTTTACTTCATTACGACATTCCTTTACCACTTTTTCACCTTTAACTAACAACCGTTGTACCAAATTGATAACACTTTTTATGAAGTTATTAAGTAGATACCATTTAAATTTTAAAATGTTATTTCCGGCAACCAATTTTTGATGATGGTCACTAATAATAAGTTAAACTTTAGTTTCCTAACAAAAAAAAATTACAGGTGCATTCATACGTATGATAACAAATTTAAAACAGAAATTGCATTACCAATTATGTCAAATTCGATTTAAAAACCAACCTCGCAATAAATTATCGAAGCAATATTTCTTGATAAATTTATATCACGAGACGCTCAACATTCAACATTAAACAATTATCGTTTTTCATCCGAGAATTAACCTTAAGGACTTGTTTTTGTACGACAAACCATCGAAATCCTTTTATTTTCGCATTTTTAATCAGCCTTGAGTCCTTTCGTCGCTTAAAAATCAACTTGCAGATTTTTTAGAATCTGGTTTAAGTTTTACACCCGGATCTTTGAAATGGCAAATCCAGTTGAATTTTAATGGGTTTAGTTTTTAGAGGTCACAAGCTTGTTTCAGCACTTATTTTTTGTTCTGCTTTATAATGCACCATAAAGACAATATTTTTTGCCGGTAAATACGCACACAAGTAAAACTTGTCTTATGCGTTATTGATTATTTATTGACCATTATAGGAATATGAATAAATCCATTATTAAGTGAACAAGCAATTTAAAAAATTTAAAATATTTTTTGAACAAAATTACTATCAATTGTACTATCACAAAACTGCTTATTTATTTTTCTGCAAACGTATAAAAACTAAAAGTCCCCAATAAACAATAAAATTAAATTTAGAACTGACATTCCTCTCCACAACAAAGAGATGCCTTGTCGCCTTATAGCTGCTACGTAAGTTCTAGTATCTGTCCCTCAATTTTCGTCAAATTAATAATAATAACTAAGAAAATTAGGAAGGAAAATGAGAAAAACTCCTTTCGCTAATACTACAACAGGCAAAAATATAAAATAATAATTAAACTCCTGTTCTGATATTATCCAAAGAAATTGTTTTTATGACACGATTTTTGAGTTTTTCTCATTTTCCTTCATTTTCCGCAAGGACAGTACAAAATCATAAGAAAAACCAATAAAAAGTTTTTTCCGTGCTCTAGTGCATAACAAAAAGGGTAAAAGAAATGTTACCCACCTCAAGAGTCGTTAATGGTAACGAGTACCAGTGCCGAAGCTCAGTTACAGCCTCTAATGGATGTTACCGTTAGGCGTTTTTCGGAGTACCTAGAAGAGGTATTAATAACTTTAAAGGAGAAAGCGCATGATTGCCTAACTATAATTAGTAAATGGGGCTGCGATGGGTCTCAACAATCACAGTTCAAACATATTCCAAAGCTGTTTTGTGCCTTCTGGAGGTAAAAATGAAAAAGTTTTATGTAATAATCCAACGCTCTCTTCGCCGCGACCAATAAGATTCCGTTTTATCAAAGAAACTAATGATGTAACTGAAGAGGAAATAACACACGTCAAAAACGCTATTACCTCTTTAGTCCCAACAGAGGTCGACCTAGGAGGGAAAAAGTTATTAATCAAGCACAAATTTATCATGATCATGGTAGATGAAAAGGTCTGCCATGCAGCTACAGGCACAAAGTCTACGAGTAGGTGCTACATATGTGGGGCAACCTCGAAAGATTTTAATAAATTGGATTACAAAGGAGAAGTGAATTTTACAGCCCTTGAATTCGACATATCTGTGTTACACGCTAGAATTCTATTATTTGAATGCATCCTACACTTAGCATATAAACTTAAAGTGAAAAAATATAGAGGAAGAAAATCGAAAGAGGAGAAAGACCTAGAAGATCAAACCAAAAGAGAGATACAAACAAGGTTCCGCACTGAAACAGGTTTACTAATAGATATGCCTAAATCCAATTTCGGGAATACAAATGATGGAAATACTAGCAGAAGGTTCTTTGAGAATCCCACATTAGCTGCAGAAATAACTGGCATTACCTATTAACTGATATACAGACTAAAAGTCATATTGGAAGCAATTTCAAGCGGATTTGAAATTGATCCGGTAAATGATGAAAGATTTGCTTCAAAAACTGCTCGACTTTATAAAGTTGTATTATTGGCATCCTATGACGCCAACAATGCACAAGATTTTAGTGCATGGTGCAGTCATTATTGAAAAGGCATTGTTACCAATCGGACAGCTTTCCGAGGAAGCAGCTGAGGCTCGCAATAAATATTTCAGAAGTTACCGACAAGATTTTGCGAGGAAATTTTCCAGGGAAAATTGTAATCAGGACATTTTTAATCGCTTTCTGCTTAGTTTAGATCCTGTGCTAAGTAGCATGCGAAATGTAAAAAAAAGGAAAGCAAAAACATTTTTGCCTGAAACCTTGGCCATGTTTGTATCTGCAGAATCCCATATTGAAACAGGAAGTTCATCAGAGAACGTCGAAGAAAGTCAAGAAACTTAACAAAATTTTTTTGCCGACCTAAAATTTTGTATTTTTTTTGTAAATATATAATTATTTTTAGAAAATATACAGATTTGTAGTAAAAATAACTTATTTTATTTATTTACGTTGTTTAGATACCAAATAAGCAAAAAAATAATTTTGGCCGCGTAGATCGTCCAATACCTGTATGTGCGGCGGTCCTTTATATATTAGGCATTCCAACGACCTGTCCAAATGGGAACTGATGGCAACCCTGTTGTCATGTTGTCATTAACAGGGTCAATGATACATATATAGTTATATAGATTGCTCAAAGCTGGTCAAGTTTGCGAGCGGCCATATTGCCTGGCAAATATTTATTAATTTAAATCTGTTTAGCAAAAATGTGTTTTAAAACCAACTTTCAGCTTTTGAGTATTTAAAAAAAATAATTGCTTACATTTTTACTTCAAGGCATAAGCTTATGTTTATTTTTTAAAATATAGATGATCAATCTATGTAACTATCTATTTCATTGACCTTTTTAAATCACCAGGTCAACAGGGTTGCCATAATTTTGCCATATCATAACCCGTCAAAACCCACTGGTAGCCATTCAGTTTGGAATGCCCACATACTTTGATTTTCTTTTACTATACGGAGAATGGTCGCACTGCGCAGCTTTCTGAGTGCCTTTTAAAAGGAGATAGAAAACTCCGCCATTTTGAACCCTTATTACGTGTTGCCTACATCTTGGCGCAATATTTTTAATAGGTGCGTTTTAATCATCCGCTTCTGCTTCGGAATTGTCAGTTTTCTTGTTTTAATCTGACAGGTTAAAACGACTAAACCGACAATTCCGGAAGCAGAAGCGGATGATTAAAACGCACCTGATATTTTGCTTGCTGCTGTCAGTGTCAGTAAATAATAGAGAGTTATTGCAAGTTAACTTAAGGTCAGTCACTATTAGTGTTGCTCTTATTTTGACATCTGAGCATGCGCAGATCACTAACTTTAATAAAGATTGTGCCTGTCCTTAACAAGAGAGTTATTGCAAGTTCACTTAAGATCAGTTACTATTAGTGCCGCTCTTATTTTGACATTTAAGCATGCGCAGATATTTATGTTCTATAACCGACTTTATTAAGGATAGTGTATGTCCTTAATTGTGGATGTTTAAGGGCAGCAGGTAGAGTGGCGACTTTACAGCTTTCGGATGCGCTCGCATAAATAAGTACAAGGACGAGGATTCTAATGTCAAAATTTCAGGTTTGCAATAAGTCTGATTTTAGCATGGAATTTATTTGACTCTAATTACGATGTCACTATCACTGGCTGGCTTTATAAAAATTTGCAATATCTCTCTATTAGAGACAGGCACAATCTTTTTTAAAGTTAGTGATCTGCGCATGCTCAGATGTCAAAATAAGTGCGGCACTAATAGTGACTGACCTTAAGTGAACTTGCAATATCTCTCTAATATTTTTGAAGTCACAGTTTATTGCTAAAGAATCAGTTAGCTCACTCGGACCAGTTGAAAGTTCCAAAATAACATCCACTCCAGGGATACAAATTCAGGATACGCAGAAGACTGCTGTTTTATTGTAGGCGGTTGTCATATATAGTATTATCCGAGTTGCACAGTGTATAAACTGAAACATTTGAGATTCAAAGTGCCGACGCAGAGTGAGCTATCTGATTCTTTAGCTGTAAACTGTGTCACAGGGTTCAAAATGGCCGCGCCCTATGTTGGGCGTGTCGGACCTCTCTCTTGCCTCGTATAGTAATCAAAGTATGTGGGAATGCCTAATTGCTTCCAATTTTCTGCCTACTTGGATCTTCGGATAATCCTGTAAAGGTTTACAAAAAGAAAAACATGGCTTAATCAATAACAGTGACGTTATTGAAAAAGAAGAGACCAGATAGTTGTCACTCTAAAAACAAACTCAAAAAAAATAATGACACAGAACGTCAAAAATGAAAAAGCAACTGAAATGTCATAAAAATCATTTGGTAGTTCTTTGTGTGCTCGCCAAACGAGACCACACAGGGTAGGGTGGCTTTGTTTTATTTTTATTAGCATTTCGGCATCGGTAGCAGTTTTCTAAAGTCACAAGCTTTGTCAAAATCAAAATAAATAGTTGTTTGTTCTATTTTACTGAAAATATCGTTCCATCCACACAATTTGTTTAAATGAAACAATATTTTCAGAAATGGCGTAGCTCAGTGCTACAGTTTCGATGTTAAGGAAAAGATCTAATGATATTTCTAAACTTTCACTCGTCATTTCCCATAATATCAAAATTAGTACTAAAGCCCTTTTAAGTGCCGACCACAGAAATGGCAATATTCGTGGAGAAAAGCAATAACTGTGGCCGACTCCTATTAGGAGTATTTCTATTCAAGAATAAAAATTTTATGTATTGTTTAGGACAGGAATTGTTATGAAAAAGTGTATAAAATATGTTTCACATGAAATACCAAAAAACTTTCATAAAACTGAATAAAACAATAAAGCGCTGCCTCCTTGTTCGTTACAAAATAACCATAACTTTAACCGCAAAACCTCTACTTTGTACGACGACAATAAAAACGGAAAGAAGTGCAAAGCATAAAATGTTATAAATTTTTGCGAGAGCTATGCCAGACAGTGCTAGCAGATTTACTGCAATTTCTGTTGTATAATCTGATAACTTATTTCTTTATAGTTGTTTTTTACAAACAATAATCCTTAAAGCAGATTAATAGAGAAGTTATGTATTCAGGATGTTAAAATCAGTATTTTGGTTACAATAGTCTTAAGGCTCAAGCATGTAAAGGTGATAAATAAAGATGGATATAACATAATCAGACCAGCGAAAAGCCAAGTGGGTACAATGAGCGGTTCTTGAAGATGCTGGTAATAATCTGTATATAGGAGTTATAAGGAGAGTGAACGAAATACTTTGAGCATGTATAGTCCAATTAAATAACGAAAAAAAGCCCCTTCGAGCTTACATTAATTTGTAATTGGATAAAACAAAGTGGACCTTGTGTATTTTGATGTGATCTTTCCGAAAAAAAAAAAGGATGTAGCAGTTTTTCAATTTTTTTTAAATTAGGAAAAACCGGGTTTTCCGGAATTTTCCATGGTAAAAATGCTAATTATCTGGGCAAGTATCATTCTGATAGTAAAATTAAATGCACCAATCGAAAGAGGAGACAAAAATAATTCGGAATTTCATTGCATAGGTAGTTTTAATGGCGAATTTCTCGCCGCCAGAAGTGCTTTTACCAAAAAGTTGTTTTTTCGTTTCTTTGATCAGAATCATGAACATGCAATTTGCGATGAATTTGTGGCGAAATTATAAATGTTAGACATATGTGCCCATGAGAGAAGTTGCGTATTTTTTTGTGGGCTCTCAAATAAAATAAGTCCCGCGGCGAAATCTGCCATAATTTTTCGGGAATTCGCAGGAAACCGGAAGGCGTATTTTTTTTTAATTTTTCCTCATATGATTTTCTCCGGGTTTTCCGAAAACATGTAACAAAAAATATATTTGAAGAAACTAACTGCGCCATCGGAAAGAGCACACAAAAATATACAAGAAGGTATACTTTAAAAATGTTAGGAAATTAATCCTAAGCTTGAGTGTAAGTTCCAACTTGGTGATAAGCTTGTTTTTTGTTCTCTAACATCTGGTTTTCTTCTCGGTTGATGCTCCATCCTCCTTTTTTTTTGGCATTGTCAATCGCGGCCCTTTCATGCCTATCCCAGGTTTTATAAATAAACTCTTTTCCGTAACGTCGAGCTACGTTATGTTTGCGACACCTTTCATGCAATATAAAACCTGGTTCTAAAGAACTGAAAAAATCATCCCCTCTCTCTTTGCTGACCATCTGCAGACCTTTCAATCCTATCGGTCTAATTGGGGTAAGTTCACCCTCTGCAAGTTTCTGATGACATAATAAACACAGTCCAGCCATTGCAACCTGGAAACAAAAAAATTATAGCACTGTGATAGAATTTTATTAATTTAAGAACGTACTTACTTAATAAATTGCTGAAGAAGTCCGAAAAACCACGTGTATACAGAGCTTGCTGAACACGGTTATTAAAAATCTATGCCGATATACACTATCAAGCGATTCAATTTGTAATAATATGATCGTTTCAAGTTTAAACTTGTCGGATAGCGAACGTCGAGACCATGACTATCCTTGATACGACGTCCGGCTAATTTTGCGGTAATTCTATTTTTTGCACAAAACTCAAGAAACGTCTTATAACAAGTCAGTAAAATACTATTTAATAAATTTTAGGCCTAATAAATTTAGGTATGTAAGAAATTTAAAACGGGAAATCACAAAAAAATCAATTTACAGAAATGCACGAGTTTTGGATCCCGCGGAGCGCGTATAATGGGACTTTTGTCGGGAGAATTCTACAACTTAGAAGAAACATACACACTTTAAACTTTGTAAACACATTGAGAAAACATGATATTTGGGTTTGCTCAATTTTCAGACCAAAAAACTGAAAATCGTCAATTTTAGGCAACTTTTCTCAAAAACCGTGTTTTTTTGGTCG